GGCTGCGGTGTGAGGCGGGTCCAGGACATTGTCCTGAAAGCCTGGGAAGCTTTGCTCAGCAGTGTATCTGGAGTCTTTCACCAAAACAGGGGGTGTAGAGAAAAACAGGGACTGAGGAGAGCGAGATGGGGACAGGACAAAACGCAAGTGAAGGAGAGGAGCAGTGCCAGTGACCACAGTGGGGACTCGACATGCAGACGGGGACGAGTGTTCCCCCAGAGCGGTCTCTGTTTTACCCTGAAGATGGTGAAAAGCACTTGCAGACCCTGCAGACAGTGTGTCCAAACACAGAGAAGGAGGACTTGGAGGGAATCTGCCAGATAAGTGCCCACTCGCAGAACGGCATGGCCATGGCAGCGCTGGCCGGGGCAGTTGTGCTGCAGCCGGTGCTGTACAACGTGCCGACAGGCATGGCTCTAAGTGTGCGGGAAGGTGTCTGTGTGGTTTATGACCTGGGGCTGACGCAGAGTAATGTTTTGCAAGAAAAAGGGCAAGCAGAGAGTTCAGAAAGCAAGCCATCAGAGAAACCACCAGACAGACCACTGATTGAGGTACAAGTTCTGCGTGTGGTGAAGATGGTGATAGCTTTGATGTTAGCTGGCAGTATCAGTGATTTGGTTCTGACTTCAATACTGTTTTTCTTAGACATTCAGATTTGTTGGACTCAAGTACCTAATCTTTTGTACAGCTTTTTAGAATGTCATCCCATGTTTTAAAAGGCAAACTAAAAATTTGGCCTTTTAAGATGACTAATCAGTTGAAATTCAGACAAGTTTTAGTTCGGTTTGCCAGTTTGGTGCCATTTCGTTTGACAGGCTAGATCTCTTGAGTAGCATTAGACAATTTCCCTTCTCCTGCAATACTACAATACCACAGTCATTGTTAAAGCTGCATGTGTAATATGATCTCATTTGAAATACATTTCATTAAAAGGACATGCGAACATTGGTATTTATCCTGTGCTAGCTATTGGTTTTATAACTCATTTGCTACCCTACATAATTTCTGAGGTATGGACATATTTAATGCAAAAAGTATCACAACCTTGTTAATTGCCGTATGACAAAGAAAGCATTGCAATTAGGCTGTAGAAGTCCTATGTTTGTTTGGTAAAAATTTGAGAACATACTTTCTTCTCCTTGTCTTTTGAAAGGTAAAGGTACTGAAATTAAATTGAACTTTTTCAAAAATGAGGACACAAGTTTCTGTGTTCTCAGTGCTGTAATCTTAAAATGATGTTATGAAACTTTATATAAAACTTTGAAGAGCTAGGGCTCAGTTATAGCAGTTGTTTATTGTACGACATAACAGCTGTATGTTAAATACAGTTTGTTTTGTTGCAGTTTTGTCCATCACATTTAAAGCTGAAAATCAGAATCGAAGACTAGCTTGTATTTTGTTGATTGCTCAGTTGTTTTGCCACTACCTTTCATTAGTGAGGTTGGAAAACTTTTTCTTTTTTAAATAGATTGACAGAGATAATGATGCAATTGCATTTGAAAGTAAGGTCCAGCAACTGACCCCATCTGAAGTGGGGGGAGGAAAAGAACTTCTTTTCATTCTTGGGGAAACAAAGACCTGGAGCGACAAAGCCAGTGATGTTTTGTCAGACTCAAGTGCTGAAGGTAAAGAGCAGGAACATACAACTCCATCAGAACAAACAACTGTAAGAAATCCTGAGAATCTAAAATCTCAGATTTGTGCTCCACATCAGAAAAAAGGTGAAAAAGTTAACAATCCTTGTAGTTCACTTTTAGATAACATGCTAAGTTTGATTTTGAAGCGAGGTTGAGATCTTGTATTAAATATTCACAGTGTTAATCATTAAGTTTAGATTAGGTTTCATCTTAACATTCTATGGAAATTTGGAAGAAGGCATAATACCTTTCAGCCTTAAGTGATGAAAGACCTTGTTCAGGCTGATGTCGTCTGCTCTGTGTTCAGGATAGACGTCTTGGATGGCATTTAGAATTTAATGGTCTTCTGAACAGTATGTGGTATTTGAATCCTTCGGGGAGATTTCAAAGTTAATATTGTATAAATACCTCTGGATAAACCTAGTAACTTACTTAGTCTTTCTTAGTTCCCTCATTCAGCTTCAAAATGTGCTTGTTTGGGGGTTTATGGATGAGCTTAGAGTGGTTTCAAGTTGCTGGTTGAGGGTGATGGGCAAATATCAATGCCCATCAGTAAGCTATCTCCCAGAACTTGAGTAAAACTAACAGAAAATGGCTGATTTAAGATTTTAGGAACATAACAGTATGTTGCATAAGTTAAGGACTGACTCAGAAGGGAATCATAAGCATCTGTTTCCCTAGCAACTATGTGTGTGTACTGTAAAAGTTGGATGACATCAGTAATATTGAAGAGTCTGTAAACGCGTGTCGTAGTATCTGGATATTAAGGTATCTTGTCTGAGGTTGTTTAAAGTACAGATATTGCAGAAATTGTTAATGTCCCTTGTTTTACTTGCTGCATTTATATGAAGCACATTTGAGCAGCTTTAACAGAGCTAACAATGTTGTTCTGTGTGGGCATGAATCCACAATGAATAAATAACCATAAAGTGTTTTTGTTTGCTGTTATTGAAGTGAAGTGTTAGCTGCATATCTCTGTGTGGTGTAAAGCATTGTATAAAATACATTTTGGTCTCAGCATGAAAATCATTACAAAGAGCGCACTTGGGAGCTGAGACAACTGTTCTGGAAAGGCTCTTCAAATATGACATATTTGCCATTTTGCAGTTTCATATCTTCTTCAAAACTGAAAATGTTGCACATTCACTTTTAACTTATTAAACTCAAAAGAAATTCATTACTGCTATGCCATGAACTTGGACATGTTCTGTAATCCAGAAAGCGTATCTTTATTCTTTGACTCAAGGAATTGATTTTTTTTTCCCCAAATTCAACTAATAATTTTTAAAAGGCTTTTTCCATCATGATCATTTTTACTTATAATTTATGGATTTAGGACTACCAGAAAGCTGATAATAGCTTAACTTGTAATTTCCAAATCTTTGAACAAGCTTGCTGAGTACTAATACACAGTTGCCATCAGAAGGTGTGTTGCACAGGGTGTAATTGCCTTGATGAGCCACATCCAATTGGTGCTATCAGGAGAGGAAGTTTCATCCTGTCTTGGAGGTGAGAGCTAGATTAGGAGTTAGGTTACCTGGGAATAGGTTCCTAACTGTAATGCATTTCACTACTTTTTGGGCAAATCACTTAAGTCTTGGATACAATAATTTCTGTCTGACAGCTTGATTTTTTTATCATGTGTTTTTATGTAGAAGTATGAAGTAGTTTTACCCAAAGTAGAGTAACTATATTGAAATTGGTACTATTTTTTTAAGAAGTAAAGTCATTATTTTGTGTCTCATATGATCTAAATTTGTCTTTTCCCACAGGAGAAAAAGAAGTTTTCAGCTGTGATTTGTGCACATTCATCTCACTCAGAATATCAAGTCTTAAACGTCATGTGAAAACCCATTCTGATGAGAAGTCTCATGTGTGTCACCTCTGCCTTAAGGCTTTTCGTACAGCTACTCTCCTGCATAACCATCTGAATGTACATACAGGTATCTAACATGTGGAAAGACTTCATTTTACATATTATCTACAAAATTGAATTAACATGCAAATGACTTTGCCTTAGGGCTGTATTCTGCTATCATTTTGTGCTCTGATTTTGTTTGGAGTTCCACACTGAAAAGGCATGGTCTGTAGTTAGTAACTTCCTGTGTATGTGTTCATTTATTTTGTTAAATACTATCCTAATAATTTTTGTTAACTGAATTTTGACTCAGTTGTGTCTGATTCCCATGTGTGCAGTAAAATTTTCTGTGAAGTTTTCACTTTGCTGTATAACCATATGAAGCAAATTGATAAACTGTGTTTATAATAAACTTCTGGTGTAAGTATATTGTATATAAAATTCAGAATCTCAGAAAAGGTTCTGGTAAAGAATTGTGCATGATAATTTAAGGCAGATAAATCATACTGATGTGTTCATAACTAAAATTCTAAGAAATGGTGTATTCTTACAGGGACCAGACCCTATAAATGCAGTGACTGTGCTATGGCATTTGTGACCACGGGTGAGCTTTCACGACACAGGCGTTACAAGCATACCTTAGAAAAACCTTTCAAGTGTGCATTGTGCAAATATTCTAGTGTAGAAGTAAGTACAGCCTTTCTGGATCTTTTGGAAGGGTTTGTAGGCTTTCACATGTTAAGATTTTAATATACTATCAAATTCTAACATCTTTGCATAGATTTTAACCTTAAGAAGTTTCTGTGCATATATTGTACTGCCGCGTATCGCCTTTTGTTACTGTCAGATTTCTATATGAGATCAACCCAATACATTACAAAGGTACTTGCAGATGTCAAGTTACAGTATTAGTACTTGGCTTGTGATGCAGACATACATACGCATTCTGAATTAGGAAGAATGGCCAAACTTGCACAATATTATGTAACTTTTTTAAACCACTTACATTTTAAGGGTGTTCTCTTCTTTATCACACTAAAATTGCTGCTAGACAATGTATTTATATTAACTTGATAATGCAAAAGCATCCTACAGAAGTCCTCCTGTATGCGCCATTCCATGTACTGTAGAACAAAACTGGTTGATGTCTAAAATGAAGTTCATGTGTTATGTTTATATGCTTGCTGATGTTTGGTTTTTTTACACGACTGAAATTTTCTTAATCTAGCAGTAAAAAAGTTAGTGTCTGCCTAATGATTCACTGGGAAAAATAGGCTTTCAGTCATGTACCTATGATTGAATCACAGTCACAGTTTAGTGGATATTCAATATCTAAAGTTTTTATGTGCTGTGTCCAGATCTAAAGCTGCAAGCAAGCCTGAACTTCATTTCACACAACCTACCTAATTATTTAGATCTTGGACAGCTTGCATTTTTTAAAAACCTTGTCAGTTTATATTAAAGTATCCCATTCTTTTCCTTGTTTTAGTTGTGTTCGGTACTCATTGTTGCAGAACTCTCACTGATATTGCTGTAAGCTTTACCTGAGTGAGGAGAGCTGAAGGAGCCCCCTAGTAATACCATGTATATGATTTGACTTCGGTATAGCAAAGATTGGCAATCATGTTTAATTTTATTTAAGTGAATAATTTTGCAGATTTGAATGGATCTAGCGGGGAGTTCATTAAATATGTTTATAAATGTAGGAATTGGAACATTAGGTAACTCCTAATTTTAGCTTGGATATCTACACTATTTATATAGAATGTGTCACAAGAATGGTGTAAAAAAGTAGAATGAATTTGCAATTAAAGTGCTTCATTGGGACTTGGTGGTGAATAAAGACTTTGGTTAATGAGTTTGGTCTTTCATTTATTTTCCTGAGTATTTTCAAAGAATTTCATGTTTGACATATCCAATAGCCTGAAAGTAGTGGATATCCCCTTTAAAAATACTAGCTTTTATGTTCTTATGAAATCTCTCCTTTTGTTTATGTTGACACTAAACATGGAAGTATAAAGAGTACACAAGTGTTATCTAAAACCACAACAGACTGATTGTATGGGAAAAAAGGGGTGGGGAGATAAGCACTAATTCTGGGATTGATGGAATGTTTTAAATTGCAATAGATGTGTAAAATTGCTTGTCTTTAATTGTGTGTCTAGTGTGTTTCTGCAGAAATGTTCTTTTTGTACTAGGCAAGCAAAATGAAACGACATGTTCGCTCACATACAGGAGAACGTCCTTATGCCTGTGAACTTTGCAGTTATGCTAGCAAAGATGCGTATAAACTGAAAAGGCACATGATAACTCACTCAGGTAGGACTCTGATGTAATGATCAAGTAGACTGAGTCAATTGCCAGTCTTGATGTAATTTTTGATGATACTCATCATCAACATTTTTTTTTTTTTTTATTGTATTTATGTGACTTTTTGGGAAGAAAGGCAAGAAAACAATTTCCTGCTTTCTCTTCTACCATTATCATTGGCTGCTGTTGAGTCACTTTTATTATGATGATGTTACAGCTGTAAACTTTCTCCTTGCACATTTAAGGATAATTCTGCATTTTTGTGCATTAAATATTCAAGACAAAATAGAAGATAATTAAAATAATTCCTGATTAATAGTTTATAATTTTAATGGCTTTATGCTTCATCAGCTTGACTCACAGATTCTGGAAGCCAAGTTTTTGCATTCTAATTAGCTGTGTAAACGTACGTAACCTTGTTTAGCCTTTTGTGCGTTGTCCACTAACAGTAACATTTTCATCGGTCTGGAGACTGTTGCTGTTAGAACATGGATGTTGAGACCTGTGGCAATTTTGCATTTGTATCAAATGAGTAGAGTTTCTAAGCATATGTTATTCTAATATATATTTTACAGGTGAAAAACCCTATGAATGTTATATTTGCCAAGCCAAATTCACTCAAAGTGGTACCATGAAAATCCATATGTTACAGAAGCATGGAGAAGATGTGCCAAAACACAAGTGTCCACATTGTAGTGCCTTTATTTCACGAAAAAGTGACCTGGGTGAGTTTAAAGTAAAAAATTGAACTGTAGAGATAATCAGAGGTGAAATCTCTTAATTTTCACTGCTTACAATGATACCAAATATGTTACATATGACTTGATATAATTACAGAGCATTTCTATAGGAAACGTATTCATTGTTTTACAGGTAAGTTCCTCCTGCAAGGAGATGTGGTGACATCTTGTGGTTGATGTGCTGATTTCTTTAATTTGGGGTTTTTTGCTTGTTACTTGGTGGCATTATGACCTGGTTTTCAGTACGAAGGTACTCACAAAAATACATGCCCAGATTATAGTGAAGTTTTTTCTCAAAACCACAGAAGAAAAGTCAAATTTGTATTAAGCCATTTCAGTTCTCTCATTCTGTTACTTTCTCAGCTCTAGTTAAAATGACTATATGCATCTAGCTATATGAGACACTAAAACATATTGAATGTTCTAGTATATATGGGGTTTTTGCATATGCCAAATCAGCTTTTACCTTTTAATCTAAAATTGTACTATATGTTTAGGTGCTGAATGCATTGTCCTTGTAATTTAAAGAAATACATGTAATAGCATTTGTTAGTAAAATGCAAGTTAAATTTTGACTTCATTGGTTCATCAGACAATGGTTTTACTATGCCTCTAGTAAGCAAAACTCTTAGAATTCTAAATCCTCTTACATCAATATCAAAGATTATTTTCGGGCTGTATAACACTTGTGAAGCATTGATGGTGATACAATAAGCTCAAATGTCTCTTAGCTAGTTGGGATCTTTTCCCAGAATGCAAAGAACAAACAACTGCATAAGTTCATCTTCATTCTCTATGCAGAGGTTCAAACTGAAAGTATAAATTAAAATTGTAATTGAGAATGTAAATTGAAATTTTTCCTCATACAAACCCCAGTTCTTGAAATACAAACAATTTGCTCTGGATTTATATATGAAATTTTTTAATTACTCTTCTTTAGAACAATACTTGCTTCAAGTACTAGTAAAGTTGTCTGTATCCATGTATTTCATATGCAAATTCATCTTTTATAGGAAGAAAAAGGTTTTGTACAGGTGAGAATTTTATTAATAAATCAGTGTTTTAGAATTATAGCATATTTACTGTACTTCAGGCAATAGAGTTGACCAATGTCAACAAAACCTATATAAAATTTTAAGTTTACAGAAATAGATGAAACAGATATATTAAGAAAATATTTAGACATACAAAAATATCTTTAGCATCTATTTGTATTTTCAAATAAAGATCCCATTGAAGTCTGTTAAGTATTTGAAGGTGTGTTACTTATATATATACAATCTCTTTGTTCATGTATTTTTGCACCTTTCATTTTAATGTAAATACATTTAATTGTAAATACTACTTTGGGCAGCAACTTGAAATTAATTTCATGTGTAGACAAAAGCAGGCAGTTACTGGAATTTTAGAAAGGGTTTGATTTGTTAAATGATTTCCATGGAAATCAGTAAGAGTTAGGCTTATAACTGCTGAATCTCTCTGCAAAGTTACAACATCTTGCTGCAACTCAGTTAAACTTACTTGAAAAATTGCTGATTTGGCGATTTTACTCCTATTTCAGAGACCACAAAGTTCTTCTTTGTGTATCCTCTACAATGTATGCATTACTCAGGGCTATGCACAGGGCAAGTCTTCTTCAAGATGGTGGAAATTCAAAATTTACCATTAAAATCAATTGCTTTGAATAACTGTTCAGGTGTCCACTTGCGAAATCTGCATTCCTACATGGCAGTGGCAATTAAATGCAGTTACTGTGAAGCTGTGTTTCATGAGCGCTATGCTCTTATTCAGCACAAGAAGACTCATAGAATGAAAAAAGATTCAAATGTGATCAGTGCAGCTACGCATGTAAACAGGTATTCACTGTAAAAGTATTGCTTACTCGAGAGTGTAGCAGGGTGGGGTTTTGGGGTTGTATTTAATTTAAGATAAAAACTTCTGTGACTGCAATCTAAAATGGTGTAGGTATATTTATTTGCAAGATAAATGGTTCACAAATAAACAGTAAAATTGAAAAGCTGTAAAGTCTGAGGCTATCTTCTTGATAAATCTTTTGTACTTAAACTGCTTAGAAGTATAAAGTAACATAAATCACTTTCAGTGACATTGCGATGGGAACAAACTGTAACATTTGAGGCTTAAATGTGACTTTCAGTAGAATAAATTTGTTCTGAACTGTAAATTGTATTTTAAAGAGTACATTTAGGATAGCACTGCCTTGGTCTTGGTATGTTGAAGCATACCATTGCTCCATTCTGATGATGTTCTCTGCTAACTTTAATAAGGTAAAGAGGAAAACCTCTCACCTTCTCCAAGTCACTGGGCAGTATCCCAGTGTGTTCTTCTGCATCTGCAGAGTATAATTAGGGAGTGTGCAACATCCTCACACTTCTCTGTGTGCCTGTGTGGTTATTTTAACTCTCAGAGCTGCATAGTTATGTTACAGGTATTTTCTTTGTTTCAGGAACAACACTTAATTGTACATAAATGCACTCATACTAGGGAGAAGCCCTTTGCTTGCTTGTGCTGCAGCAAAACCTTTCAACAAAAGGAACTTCTTACTCTTCACTCGAGGAAGCACCATGATTCTAATATTAAGCCTACAGTTTATGAATGTCCCTAAATGTGGTAAGGGCTATTCACTCTGGGTAAGATACTTCCTTTTAAGGAATCTCAGTGGAGTTATCTTTAGCTATGTATTGTAGATCATATTGTCAGAAAGGACTGAGAGTAAAAATTAGTGTACTGACAGGAATGTTAACCCCTTAATGCTAAGCCAGCAAAACTTGTTCGTTTTCTTTCCCAGACTTTACATTGGGAGATTAATAAAGAACTTTATATTCCCCTTTAGGTAGAAAATATCTGCTACTTCATAGTTTCAGGGTTGTTACTGGTTTGTAGAATTCAATGTTGAATGTTTAATACACTACTCTCCTTAAAACAAATCAAAAGGCAGTGTGGAGGTACGAATTTTAAAAGATATCAAAGAACTTCGAAACTTAATTGAAGTGAAAGAGTGCTAGGACCAGTTCAGCAAGGAAAGTAAGAAATTATTCACTTCCAAACCATATGCAGTTAGAACGTATCTCTGGTTTGGGGTTAACTGTGCACGCTGCTGAAGTAAAAATAACCTTTTTTCCACATGCAGATTTTACATGTAAAACTTCATTGCTTATCCAGGAACCAGAAAATTAGATATTTGATTTTATACCCACCAAATGGCAGTGTTCCTTTAAACAGAATTTTAATATGTATTTCGGAAAATCTTCAGGAGTTTTATGGAGGTTGTTAACTAAGTCAGCCTTTCACTTAGCCTTCCAGAATTTTTATGTCAGAACCATATTTTTTTTTCTGTGTGTGTTAAATTGCTTACATACATTAATATTTGATTCATATATTTATGCTTCATTATGCTAACAGAATAATATGCATAAGCATGCTGAAAATTGTGGATTGGTGAGGGCAAAAACTGCTACACTCAGAAAAAGAAGCAAGGGCAAAAATAAACCCCATGAGAACCCAAAGCGTGTTAAGCAACAAGGTAATCAGTGAATAAGTTAGAATTTAATCATGTAAATTAGAATCAAGAATAAAAGGCTAAGACAGTGAATCTCCCGGCTGCTTAATTACTGTTTCACAATGAAGCTAATTTAAGTGCTAATAATGGAATAATACTTCATTGTGTGTCAGAAATTCTCATCACCTGATTTTGGTCATTGCTCAGGTACCCATTCTGGGACTGTTGTTCCCCTGCTCCTGCAAATGTCTTCCTATGCTCCCTGCTTAGCAATGCTTGCAAATGCGGTTTTCTTTCCCATTTTACAAATTCTCTTTGCCTTTATAAATGAGGATGAAACACATCATTTACTGACTTAAGCTATAGTGAGTTTTCTTAAATTATAATCTACTGCTTTAACACAGACCAGATGGAAAACTTTCAAATCTCAAAAGTCGGGTTGCATGTTAATCGCAAAAGATCTAGCACATTGTAAAGAAGAAATTGTTCATCTTCTTTCTCTTCTACTTTGACCTGATGGTGATCAAATAATAATAAAAATACTACTGATTTAAATACCTAGAGTCATTCTTCTGTCATACTGCAGAGGTGATCAGGCCAATTTATAGACCTCTTGATTCAGAATGTCTGTGCAATCAGAAACTCATTTGTAATTACTTAGTGGTACTCATTGTGGGTAGGTCTTGAGCACTGAGCATTTATTCTGTAAACTTCAACATAAACCGAAGGACCATCATTTATGTCTTTCCTTCTCTCTTTTTTCTCTGCTTCCTCATCTTTTGTTGTTAGGTTAAGATTCCCAGAAAGCGACTAAGTTCAGCTTTTGGCAGATTGTGATGGCAGACTAATTGGTCAGCTGATTGTCTCCACAGCAATAAGTGGTGTGCCTTTGGGTAATGCTAGTGCACTCCTGATAAAATAATTTGTATTGTCTTATTTGCAACTCTAAAAACATAAGAAGTTTTTGGGTTTTTTAATTCTCTTAAATAAACCTTAGCCTGTCACCACATATGTAGTGATAGTCTATCAGTTTCACCTTAAAATATAAATTTAACTCAGAGGAGGTGTCTACGCATAATTTCATTTATGTACATTTCTGTTGAATTAGACAAAGCACAATATACAATATTCAGGTCAGGGCATGGGCAGGAACCCTGTATCCACTGCCTTCCCTTTGCATGTTTGATCTAATGCTGAATCTCTGCGCTGTTGCAGGGTGAGAGTTGGTTATGTGTTTCTGAGGTCACCTTCAGGGCCACCAAGGCCTAAAAAATAGCTCTGCCTGATAAGAATGTCCTGTCATTTTTTTGCCCTTCTGCTTCCCAGATGCTGTTTGAAAGCCAAGTAGTCTCCTTGATAAGATTTTTCAGGTGATTTTAATGGAGTAAAAGGCAAGAATGGAGATACATCTAAGTCCTAGGTGTCCTGAAACCTTATGTTTTGGTATATGATATTGTATCTACACTGATTTGTGACTGATGACAGATAAAATCTGACACAGTGAGAAGAAGAAACGTTGAAGCTTTTCTGAATCTAATGAATATATATCAGCAGCTGAGTTTACATTAGCATTGACACTTCTGTTTTCACTGGTAAGGCTGTAATGGTATGGTTAGAAGTGCTACAGCTGCAGTGTTTATGTTTTTGCAATAATTAGATTTTGATGTTTATTAATGTTTTGCTACGTGCAAACAATTTCTTTTTGGTATCTTGCAGATACCTTCATCTGGAAGCTTGATTTTGTGGAGCTAAGAAAATGTGTCTTTAGATGTAATTCATGCAGATACTGAGTCCATTAACTGACTCACACAAATACTAGAAATTTCTGTGCTCATTCCAAAAGATTTTTCCCCAAAGTTGACATTTGCAAGTATATAGTTTACTTCTTGTACAACTTGCAAGGACCTATGCGATCCTGTATGTGGCTTTACAAAAGATTACTTGTCTGATTGATGCTGTCAATGCTTTGCTCTTACTAAAAATTAGAATAGAAAATGCAGGTATATGAGAATTAAATTTCCAGTTAAATAATGCTTAGTTTCCCCTGATAAGAATGCTATGGGTACAACTTACTAACATGGCTTGTAATGTAAAAGTCAACCTAAGATACATTCATTCTCCAAATAAATGAAAGTTATGCTGTTGTTACATATTGTTAAATTTATTGAAATATTTACTTGTCTTTCTGGTTAATCACCACAATGACTTTTTTGTTTGGATTTTCTTTTCAAACTTGACCTGGAATCATTCCAAGATGTCCCCGTTGGGAGGGGTCAGTATTGTGCCAGTAAGATTGTTCCTTTTTTTAGATGGGATAGAAACAGCAACTCTGAGAACAGAAAATCGAAGTGATTTCTGAAATGGACTCTCAGCATGATGGCCAAAAACGCATGAATAGACTCTGGTCTTGTTTCACTGGTTGTAACTGAGCAGTTCAAAGTGTGTCCAGTTAGGAAGCTAGAAAAGATGCTAGTTCAAAGCTGTAGAAGCCTTTCTGTGCTCATTTTGATTCCTATTGCGATTTCTACTGTGTAACCTAAATAACATTGCCAAAGGGTGGAAGTTACAGGGAACCTTCACCTGTTTTATTGCACACATGTAATAACAGAATGACACACACACAAAAAAAAAATCTAATTTCAGAGTAATCTGTGAAAAAGTAGATAGTTTTTTTCACCTTGCAGTTAATTTTTCTTCCAGATTTGCTCACAGAATTGCATACAATCTGAAGCAAACTTATTCCACAGTAGCTCTGTAGAATTGAGAGCTGCATGAACTTGAGTCTGTTTGTACTTTCCCAAGGTGAGCACTTGAAAGGCAATGATCTTTTTAATGCAAGGAACATTTACTAAGTCTTCTTTCTGCAAATGCTCTTGTTTCTAATAGAATTCATGATGCTAAAATACATTTTTATTTTTCTAGAAAAGTGCTGGGGTTTATGCCCAATACTTGTAAGTAATTGTTGAATGTTATTAGTTCCATTCTTTCCCAGTGGTTTTCAACAGGTGTAATGTCATTCTATTCAGAACACTTCCTTTAGTTTTACATCAGCATGAAAAGTAATGGCAGAAGCAGATTTTGGCTTCTTGTTGGAGCGTTAAGGTCCTGCAAGCTTTAGGGTATGGTTTCATGGCTAGATCACGCTGCCTGTCCTGTCTTTTTCCCCATGTTCTGGGCATAATTTTCTTTCTTCTCTCTTATTTCAGCAATAGCAACTGTACAGCTGTGGGGTGCATTGGATCAGCATGCAGATCTAATTGGAAACTAATCTCTTGGTTTTGGTCAGATCAGTTAGCTGGACAGATTTAGAGCTGCATGACAAAAATGAAGCAGCAGCAGTGTGTGCTGACGTCAGAAATGTTTGCAGGACCACCTTTTCTGGGCATGCATAGCCTTCTGTTGCCTTAACCTGACTGGTTTTTAAGTGCAGGTGTTAGCAGTTTTCTTCTCCCCCTCTTTCCCCTTTAAATAGCCTCTCGCAAGTCTTTCCATGTAAAATTGTGATCGTACATTTACCACTAGATCCAAAACACACCCATGACTTTGATTTTAATTAGGTCTTCAGTAAAGCATACTTGTATTATATAGGAAAGCTCATGTTTATAGTACATTTAAGAGTCAGGGAAATTTTAATTGTCACCTACAGTTCTCAACTGGCTTTTGAACTACTGGTTTTACTGCTTAATTAATTATTATAGTTAGAGTAATTAGAGTAAGTACTATTGATTTTTATGATGAGTTACAATGATCACAGTTGCCATTTATACACTGTTCCCTCGTTTTTTGTCATTTATAATTAATACTTGGAAGCCTATTCATAAAATCTTAACTACTTTTAAAGTATTCATCTCTAATGCTGCTATTCTTATGTTACGTTTCTTTATAAGTAAGCAGCAGCATTACTACCAATTTCAATAATATTTCAGTGTATAACAAGTAAATAATTTTAAGTAAAATAGTGAACCCTTATCCTAATTTCAAGATTAACATCTGTTTTTAACTTCATTATAAATATGGTACTGAATTCGACCAGTATGAAATGGTTTGGGATTGCATGTAGCTATGTTTGCTAGTTATGCTGATGTGGTTGGGGGTAGTGAATTCTGCTCTGTGCTGTGCAGTCCAAGTGAACTGCAGTTTGACACCTAAGTACTGGAACTTTTAACTTTTGCTACTTTGAAAAGTCTGTTAAAAATGAAAGCTTAGTTTTTGCTAGTTAATATAGTAAAGAAACAATTTTACCCTATACTTGGTAACACGTCTATATGCCTTTTTTACTGGGATAACTTCAATTCAGTAGCCGTTCTGCTGTTACAATACCCAAACCATGCTTAGGATGTTCAACTGTCTCTCAGTGTCTGAAGTATCTCTGTGCTCGTGGCGAAGAGGTAAGGTTGTCAGTATTAGCAAGAGATACTTGCTGTCCTACAGGAGTAAGTGATCCAATTTCAGAAGATACAGACTACTCTACACTAAAAGGCCTCATCAAGACCTTAAACAGCTCAATCAAATATATGAATAGGAATTACCACTTTAGTAATAGAAACCCTGTTCAGTTTTGTAGCATACACTTTTAGCAATCACTGAGAAGTCAGTGTATTTGAATTTATCTAAATTTATTCCTTGGTTTTATTCATTGTGTTATTTGGGTGTTTCATAAAGGTTAATAATTACTGGTTCTGCTTTCATAATGGTAATATTTATCCAGTTTTAGTAAGTTAATAATCTGTTTTGGCTGCCTTATCACAGGACTTCAGGATACTGTTGCCCATGATGATTGCTTAAATATTGTTGGCTTTATTCTTGTTGTGCTGTTTCCATTTGTGTCATAAATTCCAAGCAGCGTATTTCTTAAAATTAATTTGAGAAGTTGTATAAATTATTTGATCAATTTTCTGCATATACATTGTTCATTGAATTGTTTTTAGTAACAAGCTGATTTTGTGCTGACACCTAAAAATCAGACTATATGAAGTAAAATATGAATGCAATAATAAAAAAATCTTCTTAACTCTGAACTTGCAAAGTGATTATTTAAGTAGGTGGAAGCTAGAAATGTGTCCCTTTGGAAATCAAGAAGGACTGCTTTGACCTTTTCAGGAGTTATTTCTAGTGGTCACATGTTTTTTAACCACAAACAGTGATGGTTTTTCATGATTAAGAATTTGCATCACTATGGTTTCAAGTGTTTATTTTGCAAAGACAATTTAATGATGTTATTAATATATTTTAGACCAGTATGCATATATTAATATCTTTTAAAACAGCACATATTTGGAATAGATGCCGTTTTTAAAATATTTTAACTAATTGATAAATATACAGGAATTATTAATGTCATGAAACAGATAATACTCAAAGTATTTTACAGTATTCTCTAACAGCGTTCTTAGATAGATAACTCAATTATGTGGAAAAGAAGCTTTCTATGTAAGACGAAGCATGCATTCTGAGTTTCCCCTGCAAGCAGAAATAGTCTATGCTTTAAATAGTTAATGTCTGAGGAAAAGCAGTGTCTGCACAGGCACACATACCCAGTAGAAAAAAACAGAGAAAGAGTAAAAGCATGACTTTGTATACATTTTTATACTGACTGGACTCCATAATATAACTGAGACCTTGAGGCACAGTACCCTCAATGATGCCAGTAAGTGTCATATGGTGATGCAAAAGTGAGATTTGATGTATCGATTAGACTAAGTTGTCTTCTGAAACTTTGAAGAATTTTTCCACACAAATCCTAGAATCTTCCAAGGAAATGAAGTAGCTATTGTCAGCAGTAGGACTGCAACATGTGCTTGCATGATAGTGTTTAATTAAGCCTGGTGCCGAGTTGATGACCGATAGAGGTAATTAGAGGAGCTTCCTGTAGATGGCAGTACACGCTCACATCCATGCAAACGGGCAGCTAAACAAGTGATTCTTGTCCTAGAATCCCAGAATGGTTTGGGTTGAAGGGACCTTAAAGCTCATCCAGTTCCAACCCCCTGCCACGGGCAGGGACACCTTCCACTAGAGCAGGTTGCTCCAAACCCCTGTGTCCAACCTGGCCTTGAACACTGCCAGGGATGGGGCAGCCACAGCTTCTCTGGGCACCCTGTGCCAGCGCCTCAGCACCGTCACAGGGAAGAACTTCTGGATGTTGTCCAATTGGATGTAATGTCCAATCTAAATCTCCCCTCTTTCAGTTTAAAGCCATCACCCCGGTCCTATCACTACCTGCCCTTGTAAAAATGTGAAAGGTGCTTTGATTTTTTTTGTCTTAGTTTTGACTTGTTATGCTATCCTGCTGATGATTTTGTGTATGGCAAGACTAGATTAAAAGAGTTCTTTGTGACTTTTTTTTCCTGAGAGGACTAATAAGTCCTAGTGTTCACTACAAAGTATAGTCATCACTGTCAGGAAAGGATGGGGTGTGCATACCTTCTGCTGGGATGCAACTGCCTTTGCTCCCAGTGAAGCTGGCACAGCCTCAGCTGCATGGCCAGTCCCTCCGCGTGCATTGGCTGTGATGCCTCTTCAACCTGCACGTGCCTTCGCTGTGTTTGTCTGCTGCTCTGGCTTACTTGGCTGCATTGGCTCAACGGAAGGTCAGGTGAGTGCCACCACTGCAAGGAAGGTGTACTGAGTGTGCACCGGGGGCATGTTAATGTATTTTCTGTTGCTGATAAACTGTTTTAACATCTCATGTAGAATTATTATTTAAGGATAAGGTAAGCAGTTTATCTAAGAAATCTTTAGTTACAGAGATTTTAGGGCTTTTAACAAGCAACAGATTTGTTAGACAAATTTTAAAAGTCCTTTAAGGTGAGATGAAGTGTGCACGTAGGCCATGGGGGGTGATCTGGTCCTTCATAAGAGGGTGAGCTTGTCTTTTCTGTTTTCTAAGTTAAGCTTTGGCACAACAGTGTGGAAATGGTGCACAGCCAGCATCACCACAATGACTTGTTCTCTGCATGCTGTGATGTGAGGTTTTTCCATGCAACAATCTTTACTCATCATCTAAGCATAATTCTGGTAGAGTAGATGAGGAAGCTGGATTTACATCTGATTTCCATTCCTGTGAATGTTCCAAGAAATTTTTTTGAACTGTCATCTTTAAGTTCCTGCCATCCTCTCCTTTGTATCCCAACTGATCTTTTTCCTGTCTTTCAAATCTTTTTGCTGATTACCAAGTCAGCATTAGGGAGACATGTCTGCTGTCTGTCACCGCATCTACTGAAGATCTTTGCCATGATTACTTTTTTGTAAGTTAAAATCGATTTGTTATTCAACAGTCTTACAAGTAATGCTGCAGAGATAACTAACACAAAGTTAACAGACGGGAATTTAATTTCTATTGTTGTGAGGAAGCCTAGCTGTCTCTGAAACCATAGCTGTGTTGTCTCCATTGTACAGCTGACAAAGATGATGCACAGATGAAGATTAATCTCTGATTTAATCCTTTTGCCTTCAGGAGTAGTGAAGCCCACTGTTGATACAGTATGCTGCTGCTTATTACTAGTTTAATCTCACTGAACTAGAAATAGAAACCTGGGCTGTTGCAGCATGTAATGATTACATTTACATTAGCAGAAGGTGGTGAGCAAATGGTCAAGGACCAAATCACATTAAGCCAATGCTGTTAATCGCTTCCAGAGACATCGAACTCAGAATTAAAACTGAAATAACATTTATAACTTCTTAAAGGTCAGCGCTTAAGGTGATATGAAGGCACTATGGCAGCATGACTAACAGCCATGGGCAGGAGTGGTGGTATAGCATCTCATAAGGAGGATACAGAGGGAGTTTCATCTGGTGGTAATTGGAAGGTTCATAAAGGAGACACAGACTCCATAGTCTTAACTAGAAAGAGTAAAATGAATAACATTTTCCTTCGTCACAAGGTCTTTCCCACTGGATGTAAGTTCATTCCATGGAGTCACTAGTGGATGACTGAATTACAGCTGACAACATTATGTATGGCTGTAATTTCCACTCACAGTTTTTAGTATCTATTTTTTGTTTTAAGACACAAAATGTGCATTTGAAAGCAATTTACATTAATACAGTATATCTTCAGACAAACATCATTCCCTGTTGTGCTTTTAAACAGCCCAGCTATTGTTTGAAGTTAGTCACTGAAACAGCTGGACTCTGTCTGGCATTATGGGTGTGTGATCGTTACAGAATGGTAAAGAATTTTCTGACAGCTTTGGTTCAATATGTTTTCACTTTGAACTGGCAGTTGACAATGAAGAATTTAGTTTCTTTCTGCTTTGGTAGTTA